GTGTTTTGTGTATCCCCACGGGGGATACACATATCACTAGTGATATGTGTGCGGGGATACACATATCACGGGGATACACATATCACTGTGACACCGGAAATACGTAAAACTACTTGACAGTGTAAATTAAAGCTCAGCATACAGTAAAATTTTACCAATGTAAAATTCTCATTGCACCTGAAGAAGGCCGGTTTTGCCAGCCAAAATATAGTGCACCTTCAAAAAATCATCCTACGTTATTTCGGTGTCTGCTTTTATATTCTTCAAAAACTTGGTACTCTCTCCTCCGCAGAGCCTCCCTAGGGAGAAGGGGTAAGTAAGAAAAAGGTCACGGAGGGAGCGCGGGGGACGATAACCTTTCTCTCTTCCCAGCGACCGAACCGTCGGCCTACACGGTCAAGCTGAGGACTACGAATGGTTCGTCACTGATCGTTGAACCTTGGGACGCGAACAGCTGGAATCTTAATATTCAGTTGTAAAAGAAGTCATCAATAACTAAATAACAATAAATAAATAACCAACTAAATAAACAAACAAACTAAATAAACATGATCCTGCTTGACTGAACCTTGGATCTCACAGAAGATCTAATCAGCCAAAGTTGAAAAGTAAAACGATATGAGAAGTCAAAGACTACCAAGGCGGATACAACGTAGTACAGTTAAAACAATATTTTGGCTGGCCAGACCAGTAAGACCACCGCTAGCCAAAATACCTTATTAAATTTATCAATAAATAAGTAGGGATGAACCTTCAAAAAGTACTTTCTTTTTCAGAGGAGCTCTCCATGTTTCGTACTTACTGAAAAAACTTTAAGAGCTCGATAAATTGCCACAAATTGTGTTGTACTTTGAGCGCGAAAGTTTGCGTTACGGCTTGCCAAACATTTAATGATTGAATAAAGATCTTTGCTGGGCTTTATAACCCCTATTAACCTTGATTACATCTAGTAGGCGATTCTGATGATCACCAAATAATGATTAATGATTAATAATTGATGACAAAAAATTTTGTGGTCTTTAACCATCGGTTGCTCATCGATTTTATCCATTACTTAGCGTCAATTTTGGTCTGGAGTTCCGCGCCCCCTGTCCGCGCACGCTCACGTATCGCTCGTCCCATTCCGACCGGGTTAACTTATTGACTTATGGGACAAATGAATTTTATTCGTTTGTCTTACGATGGAGTCACTCTGAGATGTTGATCGCGAGCTTTCGACTGCTATACTTCTAGTCTTCATCAGGCGATGAGGTCGATTGTTTACGTCTTCCTATTTGTAGCACGTTGGTTCGCGGCATTATTATTATTATTATTATTATTGATCAATAACGATTTCTTAAAACATACGGCAGGTGAATATTAAACGTTAAAAGCCAGAATGCGAATGCGATCGACTTGAGACAATTGGTAGATTCCAAGGTAGCAGACCAGTAGCACATTCCATCAACCGAAGCGACTACACCCACCATCCGAGTTATCATACCATTTAAAGATCAGACCTCTGCTAACATAGTAAAGAAACGTCTCGCAGACCTCAGCTCGCTGGTCAGGGCCATGGTTCAACCCGTGTTAATCGGCGGGGGGCTCGGCGGGGGCCTTGGGGTTCGGGGGTTCGGGCCAGCCACTGTTGACCGGCGGTGCCTGGTTTGTGAGTTTCAGTGTGACCTGTGCGATGCAGGATTTGTTGGTTGCACTCGCGGCCGGCTCCGCGGGCGCGTTGATGGACACAAACGGGAGTCGTCGTCGGTTTGTGGACATTATATGAGCGAACATAGCTCGAGCGTGCCTCCTTTTCTTTCGGGGCAGTTTCGCGTGCTTACTAAGTGTTCTAACAAGTTTGGTTGCCTAATTGGGGGGATGCTTTTTATAGGAGGACTTTGACCATCCCTAGGCGTGCGGGCGGACTCAGCTCGCGTAGGGGTGTTCACTTGGAGAACTTGTGGTCCTTTGTTGTTGTGCTGATTTGTGGAGACTGTATTGAAATCAAATCTTCGCATTATTTACTCACATTGCCCTGAGAATGGTGTGACGATGACCCCGAAACGTCGGCTTTTAACGTTAATATTCGCCGCTTATTATTATTATTATTATTATTATTATTATTATTATTATTATTATTATTATTTTCGACATTGTGACGCTGTTCCTCCTAGGTCCGCATTGCAACTTACTGCCTGTTGTACTTTTTGATTGTAGATATCTATGCTTCAGGGATTTCGATTCCACTATCTCTATTGATGTTATTTGGATGAAGAAACGTCAATAACATCCTTCAACAGGCTAGACCGCCCAAGCCTACATCATGAAGGAAATGCAAGAGGCCCTTAAGAACTTGAAACAAGTGGACTCCATCATGATTCTACCAGCAGACAAAGGTCGCGCTAACGTAGCTGACACCTACCATGAAAAAATAAAAACACTTCCGAAACAGGTCCATACCGACTTCTTTATAAATACCCGGCGGACAGGCTCAGCCGGAAACTCACTGACTCACTGCTTAAAACGAAGTGGTCCATCTACAACAAGATCAAACCTAGGCACAAAGAGCCACCAAAGATTTACGGTCAACCTATCTTACACCACGATGGATAATAGTCACATCTTTAGTGTCATTGATTCATACTTATCACTTATATAGTCATGCTGTGAAATTACGGGGAATTTTCAGTATTTCTCGTTATTATGACTGACTATCTTGTTTTGGTATAAAGCTACTAGCGTTCTATCACGAATGCTGTTCTCTGATTGGTTACGTTATTCACGATCCATTCTGTGATAGATGGTGAGTAGCGTAGAAGTGTGCGCTTGTTAAAAAAATGATGACCGCTTCTTGGCATTCTCGAAGTGTCTGTGAAGAGGATGTAAATAAAGTTTTGAACGACTAGTAGATTTATACTAAAACAATTAGATGATTCTCTCTCAATAACTATGCCGACAGTTGACTCGGGCTGTGCCCTCGTCAACTATCACGAGAAAGAAATCTCGAGCTCATAATCCAATTGCTTTATAAAAGATGAACTGTACATGTACGAGCGCTAGCGCGCTTCTGAGGACGTGAACGCCTTCAGTTACTTACTTGTGCCGTCGGCGCTACGCCTTACCTCACAGCAGAAATTTTCTTTAGTTGTATAAAACAAGTAGATATTCAGTTTTAGATGCCAAAAAATGATGGGCTAACAGCTTTAGTCGATTACTCAAATTCATTTTTATGATAGCTTGAATTGTTTGATAAACTGGAAAGAACACCTTTTGGTGCCACTGTTTCCTTGGAATATAATTACCAAAACTGCTAATAACAAATGGATGTTTTTTCCGCAAAAGTGAGGATGGTCTGTTGCGATCGCTTCGAAGGCCAGTCAACATGGAAGATTTACGAGTAATTAAAGATCTTCTTTCGATTCCAGGTAATAACCTGCGTCACAGACGCTACACTCCCCCCGCACTCCCCACGGGTAAGTTTCCGTCTGCAACGGAGGCTACTAGGTACACGTTCTCCCCCCTGGGGGAAGGGTACACCCATATGTAAGCTATAAGGGTATGTGCCGGGCAGGTGTGTGCCTGGTGTCGAGCAGATTTCTGCATCTGCAGGCATAATATACAGCGGCGATTTTCGAGGTCACCCTCATACATGAAGTACCTACTGAAAATCTAGGAAATTCAACATGGCGGACAACATGGCTGAAGAAGAAGTGGATCCTACCGAAACAGAAGAGAAAATCGAGTACCCACTGGAAGTACAATACTGTGGAGGTAATTAATAATCCCTTAACAGTTAGGTCTTAATTTTGTAAAAGTAGTAACGTCTGGATGATTTTTTTTTCTTTTTCATTGGTTGCTGTCTTTCCGAACTTTACAGTGTGTAGTTTACCACTGGAGGTAGGATTGCTTCTTAGTTTAATGAACTGTTTTAAAATGTAAATTTCTGAGGTTTTGTTTGTCTTTAATCGGTGATGCGTCCTATTGATTTGCGGGTCTTCTTTAGCTCTGAACACAGCTGTTAAAGGTCACAAGTCGGGCGAGTTACTAACTCGGGCCTGTGGTGGTGAGGGTGGTGTTTAGAGGGAAGGATGTGCGTGAGTGATGGCTGGTCAAGGGAAAAAAGAGGGACAATGTTAATGAAGCCTTGATTTAAAATCGTAGTAATTAACAATTATTCACCAAGGTGGAGGTTACCAGGAATAAATGTCCACCTCTTTTACCAACACCGTCTGAGGTGAATAATTGTTTTAGTAACAAACTTAATAACTACTGGATCATGGCTACCAGTCGTTTAGCCCTCAAGTTGATTAGCCCTTAGCTGGTTAGCCCCCAATGAGAAGTTGATTAGCCCCCATATTCACCCTAAAGAACGAGAAATAGGCAGTGTTTTCTTCTGGTTGGGAGCTAAATGTTTAGGTCACTGGTCACCCTGGACCAAAAAATTACTTTATTTCTGACAATAAACTGCAATCTTATTCTCAGAGCCCACGTGTCTTTTGGTCAGCGCCTGACCAAAAGACACGTGTGCTCATTCCCAGAGCCCATGTGTCTTTTGGTCAGGCGCTGACCAAAAGACACGTGGGCTCTGGGAATGAGATTGCCATGTTTTAAATGAAGGCACACATGCGCCGTGAAACTGGAACTCCTAAAATCTTGGAGTCTAGAAATTGATTATTCCAGAGCTCTTTGTCTTGGTGCTGACCAAAAGACACGTGGGCTCAGGGAACGAGATTGAATAAACTATAAATGGTCAGAAGTTTTGAAATCTCTGCCTGGAGGTGAATAGTACTTTGCTAATTACCTACCTACATACATACATACATACATCTGTACCTTACACTATTTCTGCCAAGGTTACTATTGTACCGTACATTCAAGAAGTCATTAATACGCCTTAAGTTATAATTATTGTCGGTGTTGCATATTTTGAATAGGGCTGTGAGTTGATCAGGTAAACTATTGTGGAAAACCTGATACATTATAGAAGTGAGCCTACGCTTGTAAATATAGCCTGAAGGTTTCCATTTAACAAGGTCAAGTACGTCAGAGTCAGGAGTTTCGCTGGGCAGTTTATGGATTAGTTTGGCAGCTTTTAAGTGTAAATGTTCCAATACTTTAAAGGTAGATGGTGAGCAGGATCCCCACATAGTGATGCAATAAGTGATGCTTGGGACAATCCCTTTGAAATATATTTCTTCTAGTACACTTGAGGGTAGTCCTTTAAACTTTTTCACCTCCAAGTTAACCAATCAGAATGATGAAAAGCACTATTCACTTGTGTGGTACATACTATTGCTAAAATATTCAATCTGAATGAAAGTATTTGGGAAGTTAAAGTAACTAGACTAAGTGTAGTACTATTCAGGGAGTAACTGTGATCGTTTCGCCTGGAGGATGATCTGCCCACTGGCGATTCACAAAACTGAAAGTCCTTTTGTTAAAGTGAACTTCCAGTAGTCCTTGCTTACATGTACATTCTTAAGTAATACAGTCAAACCTACCTGTATTGTATTGTAAGCGGCCATCTGTTTAGCGGCCAACCCTTGTTAAATGGCCAGTTATCAAAGTCCCAAATTTTTTAAATTTAGTCACTCATCTGTTCAATTTTGTTTCAATGAATTTGACTGTTTTGAATATGATTATTTTCCATATCCTGGGTGGTGTTGATTCTCAGAACAAAGTTAAATACACCTTTTAAATAGCTTGGGTGGTATGTTTCCCATTACAAAACATGTGATATTCTCAAGAGAATTGTTCTTTTATCTATCTATCTAAATATTATTAATTTATATACACACATTTGAAAATTTGAAATTTTGAAAGTAAGAATTCTCAAGAGTATCATCACATGGTTTGAAATGGGGCAACAAACTGCCCAAACTAAAAAGGTCTATTATGTAGGGAATGCATAACTATATCATAGTTGAAAAGCCTGGAAATTTCTCTTTTCAATAGACACATAGTGTTGTTTTGTTGTTTGTTTTGCTTTGTTCCTTAGTACTGTGAGTACACTTCAGAGTATGAAAAATGTAAGGAATGGTTAAAATCAAATTTGCCTGATGTTTATGAAAGTCTCATTAATCATGGTAGGTGCATTTATTGAGTTTGTTATATATAAAATTTATCTTATATGGGTAAACTGTCTTGTGTTATGTCACAGGATTCTAAAATCTTGTGACATAGAATCTTTCTCCTGTAAACTCCTCTCTTAATATACCATGAAGCATAGAGTGCATTAAAATACACTACATGTAATAATAACATACATGTACCAGAATGAACTAATACATATAACAATGAACCATGCTTCATATAACAATGCATAATCATTTGACCTCATCACATGACAAAGACTAGCAGTAGAAATCTTGTAATCAACTGCAACGCTATATTTTTGTGGCAACTCTATAGATTATTGTGAGAAGAGTGATCAAACATTTATCTGTAGCAGTGCATCATGATGAACAACAATAACCATGATGAACAATAACCATGTAGTAGCTGAATAGTAACTTTCAGCAGTGTGTATTATTTTATAGAGAGTTCTAAGTAGACAATTTCTGAGTTACATAATACATTTTGCCTCTGTTTCATAGGAAAACGAATTTGATCTGCATGAAAATTGAACCTGTATGTGGAACACATTTTCATATGAATGGTTTTGCCTGAAGACACGTTTTGACACACTTGGAAATGGCCTATTCTAATGGTGGGGCAGAAGTTCCCTAATAAAACTATTCATGCAGCATGTCTATTTATTTTAGCTTCAGAACTACTGGCTGATGTGGATATAAGTGAAGGTGCAACAAAAAAGAAGCAAACAAGAGGTAACAAGGAGATGAATACTGCAGTGACAAATAATTCATTACTCCTTATTGCTACTTCATTGGTACATGTACTAACAGTGATTCTGTGGCACTTTACTGGAACAGTTATAGTTTTTATTGTTACTCACGTTTAATAAAACCGCAGAAAACACGCTGCACTTCAAACATTGTATTTGACGCTGAAAAAACTCATACATCGATTTCACTATGTTTTTGAACATTCTCTCCTTTTGTAAACTGTCCTGGATGCAGGTACTCTACATCACATGTCACGTGTCACAAACTTCATGTTTACACCCTAACATTATGAACAAATGTGCCAAGTGCTCTTTCAGTTGGTTGACTCAGCTGAGTGTACATTATAATTTGCATTACATTGTTACATGAATATAGTACATGTAATCTATGACATACCTATTGTGTCTTTTTGTTTCATCCTGAAGGTGGCAAAGGTGTTGTTAGAGTTCCTAAGAAAAAGGTAATTGTTTGTTGAAGATCATGGCTACACTCCTGTCAAAGAGGGCAAGAAATTGTCTGTCTTTAGAGTGTTTGATATTTAACAATTAGACTCGTAGCCCTTGCGGGCTACGGGTCAATAGCCCATGAGGCAAAGCCAAACGGGCTATTGACCCGTGGCTCTTGAGGGCGAAGGGCCTCATTGTTTTAGTATCACCCAACTAGTGAGACAGAAAAGGCAATAATAAAGTTAGCAAATGCAAGTTGAAGAAATATTCATTTGGGAATAAAACGAAAGAAAGCGTCATGCTTGATTGCCCCAATTTCCCAATCGAGGACTATTGCTAATAGTCCTCCAGTAGCATAGCCAATCAAAATGCAGGATTTGCATTAGTCCACTAGTTGGGTGATACTAATTTATATTAGACCCTATTTGTGTTGTATTGCAGATCTGAAAGTCAAAGAAAGTCAATGTTAAACCTTGTAAAAATGCGTAAAGTGTGGTATACTGTGTTTTGAACTGATGTGGAATGTCCAATTTAATTAAAATTTGGATAACTTCAGTTTCAATTTTCTCTCCCAGGATCAGCTTGAGAGCTAGAGTCTTGATAAATTCTTTGTAATAACTGTATTCAAAATATTACCATGCTTTCAGGTTTTTTTGGTAACCTTATCATTCCCAATACTGCATGAATGTTCAGCAGAAATCAGTGACTACATGTATTTTCCAGTACACTATGATCATTTGGGTGCATTCGTTGAAAGAGAACGTGATTACGATCAGAAAAACAAAAATATGGAAAGGGGACAACCTACATATATGTATGTTTACACCACTCACCCGCCTATCAAAATAATCAACTTGGTCTGACTGTTTACTGCAGACTCTCAGGGCTCGAAAAAACCCCCGTCCGGTCGTCCGGGACAAGTAGATTTTCCCTTCGGGCAAGTAACTTTCTCTCCTTACTTGCCCCACGGGCAAGGACCCAGGCAAGCCGTTCGCGGACTAAATTTTTGATAACAACTTTGAGAAGAAAAGGTAAATTTTAGGCTCAAGGGTAATCAAGTGTTGAAGTAGATGAAGCTTGAGGATGTGTCGAAAACGAAGACCCAAAAACGAAGACCGAAGACCTAAGACTTAAGACCCTGTGGTCTAAAACGAAGACCCACCGATCTAAAACGAAGACCAGCCGGTCTAAAACGAAGACCCACCGGTCTAAAACGAAGACCCACCGGTCTAAAACCTCTTTTTCTTCAGGAAAGACTCTACACTAGGCTAAATTGCTTTCATTTCTGTAGCGCATAAATTAAAATGTCATCTGAGCGAGCGGTAAACTTGACAGTTGCTTTATCTCAGTCTGTACAACGTGTTAAATTGTGTAACGCAATAAAATTCCAACAGTATAGAAATATACGTTTTAGTGACGATTTTAGTATAATTTATCGTCACCAATATTCTGTTTTTCAAATGCATATGAGCAAATTACGATGAGATGACTTCATTACTTTGCTTTACTGTCCTTATCATAGAAAGGCGCAAAGGTCAACTGTGCGTGACTCGCAAATTTATTCGCCACGTGCTACAAGAATTTGTTTTGACCAGTGGGTCTTCGTTTTAGACTGGTGGGTCTTCGTTTTAGACCGGTGGGTCTTCGTTCGAGACCGGTGGATCTTCGTTTTAGACCGGTGGGTCTTCGTTTTAGACCACAGGGTCTTAGGTCTTCGGTCTTCGTTTTTTAGCAATTTTCTGCGAGCATTTTCCAGTTTCTCTGTACAAAACTTAACTCAACAACGATATATTAAAGCTGTAGAAATTGTACGCGAAAAGAAGCTGCATATTGCTACCTCGAAAACGAAGCCAGCAATTTTGGTGCTAAAATCCAGGTAAGTCTCTGTTTTCGGCGTAACATGCAAGTAATGAAATGAAAAGTATTATATTATTAAAAAGAAATGGATAAGTAAGTCGTCAAAATAGTTTCAGAG